AAGAAGAAGAATGCTGTTCCATGGAAGGGAATGCAACTAATGTCACAAAAAAGTATATAAATTGTTTATGGGAAACTAATTTGCTCTGTAAACTTTTACCCAAACCACAACTAAAGAAAGAATAAGCAGTTATATCTTTTTACAGTCCACTGTGTGATTCGACATACTTCTGGAAGACAATGTGAGGAAGTAGGTAGAGTTGTCATTATTCCATATAAAGAAGCTGAGTTCAGAGAGTCTGTGTAAATTACAGGCTGGTAAATTACCCAGCCAGGAAGCAGCTGATTCACCATCAAACCCAGGTCTGCAGACACCAATGGTGGGTCCTCTTCACCAGCTCCCAGGAACCTTCTAATCTCTACCTTCAATCCTTATCAGCCTCGCAAATCTTGGCCCTATACCATCAGCCTCCATCTGGCATTGACAGGGGATGCATGACTGAAGCTCAAAGTCAATGTGCTTAATTCATCGAATATTCCCTCCGATCAGCTCCTTCTCCTGACATGCCCATTTCTTTCTTTTTTTAAAAAAATATTTTATTGTGATTTGGGTGAAAGTTTATGAGGCAAATTCATTTTCCATACAGCAGTTCATACACATTTTGTTTCATGACACTGACTGCAATCCCCACAACGTAACACCTTTCTTCCCACTTCCTCCCTGTAGTTACCTCTTCCCTGAGTCCTTCTCTCCCATGCACTCCTGCCCCCTGAACTATCTCCCTGTGCTAATACTGCCCTTCTGTTCTCCCATGATTGATCATTCTCAGGAGTGTATCTACTGATGTAAATTTTCACCCTATATGCCTGTCTATTGTTTGGCTGGAAGCCATGGGGGTGAGTTCAATTCCAGGCCTGAAGGGTGATGAGGGGCAATAGACTCAGGGTTTCATCAGATTCTATCAGACCAGTAAGCTTGGTTTATTATTTATTTATTTATTTTTTAAAAAGATTTTGAGTTTTTTCCATATTGTTCTCCTACTCTATCCAGGATCTCATGCACCGATCCCTTTCTGGGTGGTTGACAGTGGTAGCTGGACACCATCTAGTTCTTCTGGTCTCAGGGTCATACAGGCTGAGGTATGCATGATACACTAGCCATTAGACTAATTGTTTCCATGTGTCTTTGGTTTCCTTCATTCTTCTTTGCTCTGGAAGAGGAGAGACCAATTGTTGCATCTAGATGACCACTTGCAAGCTTTTAAGACCCCAAGTTGCTACTCACCAAAGTAGGATGTAGAACATAGTATGTTACACTAACTGAGCTTGATGTCCCCTACAACCATGGTCCCTAGTCCACAGGTCCAACAACTTGTTCCATCAGGGTGGTTGACTGTGTCTAAGAAGTTATCATAACTTTGCTCCCTGTTAGTTCTATTTATATGCACATTCTTATAGCACATACAAATATGTATGTAGAACTACCATCTGCCAACCTTATATACGGTCATGGGTATGTTCCCTTTAGCCTAGACATACCTGATCATTCAGCCTGTCTACCCATCTATTCACCCATAGATTAATGTTTGTTATCACTGATAATGCAGTACTGTGTGTGTAAAAGGGTTTATCTTTATTGTCTGTAACTCTTGTGCGCCTCTCTGTGTCTTCCTTATCCTTAGTGTTATCGTGTTGATCACTCAATTTGGTATATTGCCTTTCTAACACAGTCATTTCAGCCCAAGTCATTTTTTCTCCAGCCACCTAACCGTAAAACCTCACAGCTAACAAATCATCCTCTCCTTCTCCCCCCTCCTCAAATCCAAGTTGTTACTGAGGCTTAGCAATAATTCTCTTGCGTATTGCAGCTTCCAAATCTCTTCTTCCACAATCCTTTTGTGACCAGCTTAATTCTGGCTCTTACCGCCCCTTATTCAAACCATAAAATAACTAGACTCTTTGACACCCATCTTTCCTTCATCTGATTGGCCTCACAAAGCTCCCGCAGTTACTATCTGAGTTTTCAGACGTGATCATGTCACTTCAGTGTCAATCATCAACAGCTTCCACTCCTACAGAATAAATGAGAAATCCATCCACCTCAAACTCAATCCAGTTCCTACTTACGTTTCCAGGTCGACTCCCGCTCCATCCCAGCACACACCTTCTACTGTAGCCAGGCTAATGATCTACTCACACTTAGCAGCATTCTCATGTGATTTCCCTGGCCAGTCCCCACTCCCAAACGTGAACAAATTCAACTTTAAGGTACAGATAAATCCGCCCCCTTCACAAACCCTTCTTTGATATCCCAGCCCCCAGGGAGCATCTCCTCCTCTGATCAGTATTTTCCTTCTCCCACTTATTTGCCACAGGGGCAACGGTGGTTCAGTGATCGCATTCTTGCCTTCCATGCAGGAAACTCGGGTTCAATTCCTGGCCACTGCATCTATGCACAGCCACTACCCATCTGTCAGTGGAGGCTTGCATTGCTAGGCTGCTGAATGGTTTTCAGAGGAGCTTGCAGACCAAGATGGACTAAGAAGAAAGGCCTGGTCTACTGGATCTACTTTCAAAATTCAGCCAATGAAAACCCTTTGCATCACAATGGTCTGATCTGCAACCCATAATGGGGCTAGCACAAGACCAGGCAGCATTTTGTTCTGTTGTGCATGAGGTCACCATGAGTCGGGGGCTAACTCAATGGCAGCTAAAAACAAGAACAAGAAAAACTCATTGATTATTTACACCTCGTTTTTCATTTGCCATCTCAGGGGCCTGAACATACCAAAAGGCCCTAAAGAGTAGGGACTGGGTATGAGGTTCTTTGTACCCATGCATTCTTGCACAAAGTAGACACTCAAGCGTTTATTGGTCTATTACATTGCCGCCAATCATTGTTTCTTCCAATGCAAGTCAAAGGCCAATGCTCTTAACAAGCAAGACACACAGCCCTGCTTATTCTGCAGGTGGGGAAAACCCTCCCGTCCTGTGTGAGACTCACATTACCTTCACCAACACTCCGCCCATTGGCCACCCTGGCTCACAAAGGACCCAAATGCTAGACCACAGTAGGAGAACCAGAATTCACTCAGCCTCATGTTGGTGATTGTTTTTAATTCTGGCAAAACATTTGCCACATCAATAATATGATGATTCCTTTCTATTCACAGCCAACTACGGCTCTACTGTTCCTTGTCCCTGAATCAGGTCATAAGCTCCAGTGGATGAGCATGCTGGTTATTATTGTGTCAGCCCAAGCTTTCAGAAGTTCTTGGTGGCACTTCCTAACTGGGCTTCTCAAAGGTTGACAGAGGATGTGAAACCGTTTCTGGAAATAGGACGACTACTTTTGGTATCTATAGTTGCAACTGGACATCCCACCCCAAGCCTTTGTAAGATCAGACCAAAGATTGCAGGTTGGTGGTTACAAAGAAGCAACCTGACAAACAGGTTCAGAATGAAACACCAAAACACAGGAGTGACACCAAAGGAGGAGAAAGCTCATGTCGGGCTCTCCAGTGCCTCTTACAAGGCCTGGCAACTGTCGGGCATTTGTTTCTGAATTGAGTAGCCAATGAAGATGATGCCACTTCTCAATCCCTGACAGTGGTTTCCAGAGGTTGAGGTGAGGAAGGGGGCTGTGGGTGGATGTGGTTACAGAAGAGCAACATGAGAGATCCTGGAGGTGCTGGACATGTTCTGTATCTTGACTGTGGTGGTGGATTCACAAACTACACTTGTGATCAAACTGCATGAAACTACACACAACCACACTTAGAGTACTAGTGAAACTGGGAACATCTGAGAAAGATTGGTGGATTAAATCAATGTCGATATCCTGGTGGTGATGGAGCATACTACAGTTTTGCAAAATTCTATCCTTAGGGGAAGCTGAGTAAAGGGTACAGGGGACCTCAATCTACAATCATCTCAAAATAAAAAGTTTAGTAGAAAAAAAGGGGGGAAGATTTAAAAATGTAGCCCTCTATGTTGTTGCTGTTGTTACGTGCCGTCAAATCGGACCCGACTCATAGCGACCCCTCCTTGGGTTTCCGAGGAGGTGTCACTACAGAAGAAGATTGCCCAACCTTCTTTCTGAGGAGTGGCTGGTGGGTTTGAACCACCAGCCTTCTGGTTAGCATTCAAATGCCTTAGGCACTAGGCCAACAGAGCTCCTATATGAGAGGATGTTAACTCATGACCATCATAGGTACAAATGAAAGATACACAGCTAAAAACAAAATCTGAACTTGAACTTGAATCTGAATCCTGAATCTGAATTTCCTAAAAGGGCTGTCACCCAAGTCAGATCACCAGCAGGTACAATGTCCACCTCAGTCAGCACACATGCAGCCTCATACCCACTCCCACCTGCCACCCAAAGGACCCCAGACTTGTTTACTTAGACAGGCTTTAGCTCTCTTCCATTTATCTATCATACAGGATGACTTCACCTTGGGAATAGGAACTCATTTTCTGAATGGAATAGCAACTACCATCCCAAAGCTCATTTTAACTCAAATTCAAAACACTTAATGCCCTGTTGACAATGAACTCTGACATTCTGCAATGTGACTCATTTAACCTTTTAAACTAAATACATAAATCACTGGAAAACATGAACCTAAGTGCTAACGCCCACTTTTACAGAAAAGGGTCACTCATCATTTCTTTACCTTTAGACTTTGCAAGGAATTTCTTCTAAGGCCGAGGAGAGGAAAACTCCCTGGCATTTTGTTTTAATGTGCAAACCACCTTTACTTCCCCCCTTTATAAAGCTGCAGCACATAAAACCAACTGAAGACCATTAACCTTGCATTTAAACAGTTGCGTCATCTCTCATCATGCTGCTGAAGGGGCAAGCCAGGCTTCTGCAATTCTTTGATAACTTAGCAAAAGAGAAGTGGCAACACTGTCCTCTACTTACCGATGTCATTGCTGCGGTCTGAGAGATCCTTGTCCAGGATGCCAGAAATTGCACTGCCCACCAAGTCGATCTTTGGACCGTCACCCCTATGTTAAAAGAACAAGTCCATCATTTAATCACTGAAGTGTGTCCTAGTCATTTTGTCTGCTTTCTGATGGCACACACATTAAGGAGTGTGCTGTGCAAGGGGCAGGTGGCACTGTTGCCTGCCAGGGAGCAGAGGGAGCCAACAAGCTGGCTAACCACACAGGCCCGGATGCAAACTGGCCAACAGGCTGCAGGCCCCCTCTCCAGCACACATTTTCAAAGGCAGCTATTTTAATAACGGCTGTTCCCCAAAGCACCTTCAGCCACAAAGCCTCCTGCTGGGTACACACAGTGCGAGGTCGGGCCTGCTCCTGCCTCATCACCAAATAAGAACTGGCAAATGACAACTGGGAGCTGCCCTTTTAAGGGCCCAGGAATTTAGCCAATGGTGCTTGTCAAAGGTCAGCCACTTTCAACCTTGAGAGAAGTATTCTGGCCTGAGGCTGAGGCATGGGCCACACTGTTGACGGGCGTAAGGTGTCGAGTTGAACTCTGGCAGCCCAAAAGCTGGCAGAGGGGCGGAGGCCTATAAAATTAGCCGGCTTCTGGGTGGGTGCCCACGTGCCCATCAGGACCCGAGTGGCTTCCCTACATATCTGGTCTAGGAACCGCCCTGTGGGATGGAGACCAGCCTCCACAATGACAAAAGCAGCCCAGCCCACTCGGGCATGACCACAAGGCTCCTTGACATTCCTCTCAGACAGCTCTTATGACTTGTTAGGGGAGGGTGGACCCCAAACAAGATGACCAAGGGCTCCAATGGCAGTGAAACAGGAAAAACTCCTTGCCTATGCAATGAGAGGGTGAAGCTTAGTGGTTTTTCCCCACAGAGCAACAGAAGTAGCACATCTCACAGCTGGCAGTCACCAGGTCTGAAGGTGACCTGCACAATGGATAACTTAGCTTTATTCAACAAGCATTTGCCAAGTATCTATTATACTGGGGGTTTTGGGAGGGTCAAGCCAGATGGCACCTACTCTGGAGAGGCTCACAGTCTAAATGAGAGGCAGACAAACAGCTGCAAGTCCACCCAGGGAAGGCTGCATGTGATCAAGGTATGTCAAAGAACCCTGGGAGGAAAGGACTAGGTTAGTGTAGGGGTGACCTGCATGTGTGTGTGTGTGTGGGGGGGGCACACAGAAGATGTAGCATTAAAGTTGAGCATTGGAAGAAAAGGACATGTCACTAATAGGCACGATGGTGCAAGGACCCTAATGTGGGTGAGAGTACCCAGTGTGACCAGGGGCCCTAGATACCCTGAGGTACCCAGAGGGCAGTCAGAGAAGGCTGGCAAGGGTCAGAGAGCGCAGGGCCAAATATACCAGGCAGCGGGGCTTGGTTTTCCCTGTGGGTAAGAGAGGCAGAAGGAAAGTTGAAGCCAGAGCCCTATAAACTTGGAAATAAGGGAGGGTAGACCATGAAAGAGGGCACTAATAAGGCTGACTCCTGGGTTTTTCACTCGAGAAGGGGTGGTGGCAGTGGCACTCAGCAGGACACACATACCCTTGTGATGGTGGAGAAGGACCAGAGGAAGGAGGGAAGCCTCCCTCAAGTCCTAAACCACAATGACTGTCAGCCTCGAGCAGAGGTGAACCAGGGTGGGGCTGAGCTGCTCGGCCCCCACCGAGAGAACGTACAGCTCTAAGACCGCTGTGTGTGTGTGTATCACAAGACTCGCTGGGCTTTAAGAGCTAGGTGGAAATAAAAGCTCAGGTCAAGCACGGAGTAGAGGGAGCAGTGGTGGCTCAGTGGCGGAATTCTCACCTCGCCCACAAGATACCCGGGTTGGATTCCCAGCCAATGCACCTCACCACTGCTTGCGTGTCAATAAAGGTATGCGTGTTGCTGAACAGATTTCAGGGGAGCTTCCCAATAAAGATGGACTAGGAAGAAAGGCCTGGGGACCTACTTTTGAAAATTGGTCAACAAAAATCTTATGGATCACTCCACGTGCAATGTAAAGAAATGCTGCTTGATCCTGTGCCATTCCATCACTGGATGCGGACTGGACCAGTGCGATGGCCTATCGGTCAGTGGAGGCTTGCGTGTTGCCGTGTGCTGAAGAGATCTCAGTGGGTTTTCTAGACTAAACGGACTGAGAAGCAAGGTCTGGAGATCTACTTCCAAAAATCAGCCAAATGGAAAAGCAAAACCCTGTGGATCACAGTCATCATGGGGAGGGTGCAGGACTGGGCAGCGCTTCCTTACATTGTTCATGGTGTGGCCATGAGGTGGAGGCCAACTTTGACAGCAGCTGATGGCAACTGGACTTGGAAAGGAGCAGCAGCAGCTGGAATTTTGCAGCAGAGCCTTTACTTCCTGTCTGCCCCCAGCTCCCAAGGTTGTAGGGCCTGGTGCATCCCAGGCTGGGCATCCCATGCAGCTCCCCTTGACATCCCCTTGCCCTACAAGGCTGCTTCCTCAGATGGATTCTGAGCCAACAGGAGAGGCAGACTTTAGAGAATGTATTTTAAAACATTTTCTTGTCAGGCCCCCGCCATCCACTAATTTGAACGTAAACTTCTGAATGGAGCATTTTAGAAATGCAGTATTATTGCAGGAAAGCAGTTTCATTTTAAAAAGTATTCCTTTTCCTGGATGTAAAGAAATACATTCATAAGGGCCCTTAATATCATAAGTGGACAGCCATGAGCCTGAATGATTTTGTGGCAGTGTCCTGAAAACTAATAAATGGGACTTGAGTTACACTCACAGCCAGATAGTTCTGTGCTTTGTGGAATGTTGCTAGGGACCCACACTTAGGAGAATACATGTTTTGCCTGGGGAGAGAGGCCACTAAGGCAGAGAAAATCCACAATTCCAATGGGCATTTTTTTTTTTTGCGGAGGGAAAGGGTGGATTAAAGTGACACCTCTGTGGGCAGCTGGGGAGGAAATCACATGGGGTGTTGGGGGGTGCAGAGAAGCTCTGCTCATGCTTGGCTGGTAACTGAAAGGTTGCTAGTTCAAGTCCACCCAGAGATGCCTTCAAAGAAAGACTTACCAATCTGCCGGATTGTCACTGACAATCCTATGGAGTACCGCTCCACTCTGACAAACGTGGGGGTGCCATGAGATGGAACTGACTAAAAAGCACCGGGCTGGATTTCTGGCTCCGGACTCGACTGCCCCGAGCATCTGCTTCATTTGTGTGTGTTGGTCCCTCTGAGTCTTGGAGGGGAAGTTTCCCTCTTTGACAGCTGGAAACTTCCAGTCCAACGTGAGGCCTATCTCCTGGGAGTGGAGAAGACTCCAACAGAGTGTACCATTGGGCTCCTTCCTGTTCTACCTTTAATTTCCCTTTATTGCCACCCTCAACTATTTTATTCTTTCATATGCATTTTTGAACGTTACCTCACAGCCTTTGTGAAATGACACAGGGGAGAAATCTGTAATTTTAAAAAACAGGGTATATATCAACAGCATTGAAAATGTTCACATGCCTTGAACCAATTCAGAGAGTCTATGAGTCAATATGTTTACCACAGGGTTATTTATAATAAAGGGAAATGGAATTGAACTGGGATCTTTTATACATAGGAACAGTTGAATAGATTTTGATACGTGATAGACTTTTACACAGCCATGCCAGTGATATTCACAAATGGTTTATAACAAGGAGAAATGCTTGTGTTGCAATGCTAAGGGACAGCAGCTGGTTAAAAACCACATGCACAGTGCTGCAGATACAACGATGAACCACCCTGACATACGAGGAGGAGGGACTGTTTTTTGAGACTAGAAGAGTATTTGCAGCAGTTTGTCCCAGGCAGTGGGGTAAGTGATGTCCAGCCCCAGTTCAATGCCTGGTACCTGGAAGGAGCTTGGAACACACCTGTGATGTTAATGAGCATTTGCCACATCTTCTGAAATGGAAATGCATCATGGTATTTGTATAATAAATATATTTTTCCCCAAAAGACAAAGTTGTATGCTGTACAGTGTGACCATACATACATAAAACCAATGAAAATGAGCAAAATCATACATAGGAAAAAAGATGGGACAGAAATGGTCCAAAATGTCATAGTAATTGAGGCTATAGGGAATGCCTTCTCCCCTGCAGAGTTCACTTGGAACAATTAAGACTAGAGACTCATGCAGTTCAGTCAGCTCATATTCTCTATCCTTTCAGCCCTAACGGTACCCCCAAAGTGAAAGGTGAGGTGCCTGCCTCCCAAGTTTTCTTTTAATCATC